TGATGATGACAATGACGATGACGATGATGATGATGATGAGGATGATGAAAATGATGAGGATGATCTACATTTTGTGAAACTACTTGAATCGTACTGTATGCATGACACTGAACTTGGCTTTATGATAAACTATAGTCCTTTTTCTGGCTTTTTTGCTACAGATTACCTCTGATAAAACGCCACAGAAGGAATATTCCAGCCATAACTCTCTACACTGTCTTCACACTGGAACTATATCTTTGAGAAACACACTACAACAGTGCGTGCATTATTAAAAGAGCAGTTGAGTAATTGTTCTTAACGAAGCTAAGATTGCGTTGCACACTTTCTCCATTAAAAGCAGTTTCTCGAGAAACAGATTCTTTAACAGCAGAATGTTAAAGAAGAAGGTGTTGTTGTTTGAGAGATCTGGGAATAAAACAGTGCAGCAGTAAGCGCTTCTTTAGCTCCCTAAATTTAGCCAAATACGCTTTGTTTTATTATTAGTTGCTTTTTTCTGCCATCAAACACACATTTACTTTCATTTATAGGCACGGGGTGGGAAATATCTGGTCCAAAGGCACTGTAACGTCAGAAGCAATGATGGAACGCGTGTAAAGCTCGGGTACTGAACTTTTTTGCGCACATTTATACACTTATACACACATAAATACACTGTAAATACATACACACATATACACACAATTTTCCCAATAGAAAGTATAATGGGACAACAAGCCGTCTTCTTGCTGTAGTCTTTTGAGTACTTTTCAGAAATTGCCTTGCGAGTATCTGTTTGATTATGACAAAATTAATACTATATTATATTTTTGTGTTGAAATTGCGCAGATTGTCGTGTTTTTGAGAGTGTCTTGTAAGTTTATGTCCAACAGTGCTAGACAACATTCCCTTTAGTGTGACAATAAAGTTGAACATACTATATTCTCCACACTGTGGCATGAACCATCTGTTTCTAAGGAGATGAAATAAGGCAAAAACAAATCCCTCGGCTGGCTGTTGTAGCTCAATGAAGAAGCTTTATATGGATCAAGTTTTTCAATATTATGTAAAAACTTGAGCAAGAAAGCATACACAAAGGCCATTTACTCTGGGATAACATCTCCATCACTGCTAAAAACTTCCCTAGCACAGCTGCTGGAATCTAATATGTTTAAAGCTTCAAAGATGATTTATCAGCGGATATTTCTTCTTAAAACATCAAGTTAGATGCCGCAGAAAACAAAGGTGTGAAAATGCTCTGAGTTGGCATGTTTGGGCGCTGATGCCCTGTGGAGGTCGAGGTAAAAGTGGCAGCGTCCGGACGTCAGCACAACCATAACTTATGTCTTAACAGAGAGGCTGCATCGACAAGGTCACTGCTCACACATAATGGGCCGTTTAGGGCCTAGATTCAGCGCTGCATGTTGTACTGACAGAGCAGCATAACAAGGAGCGGTGAGGCAGAAACGCTGGACCATAGGATCTGTTCCCTAATGAGGTACGGGCATTTAAAGGTAGCGAAAACATTTGCCAAACACACAAAATGTAACTACTGTATAGCCTCGTTTCCACCAGCCCTATTTGGCCCTACTCTACTCGGCTCTATTCTAGCCGGTTAGGGGTGTTTCCACCGGCCCTGTTTAGCCGGTACTACAGATACTTTTTGATATCTGCTTAGTCCTGGTTCTAATCTGGCTGAGCTAGTACAAAAATGTTGTTACTGACAGAGATTGGCCAGAGTTCTGTTAGAAGCCATGTTTACAGGGACTTTTGCTAGTGTATTCCAATGTGGTTTTACTGCAAATGGCAAATAAAATGAATGTGAATCTGATCCTTGGATACTGGTTTGTTGTGGATATGGTATTAATCACTTTATATCAGCCACTAATGGTACGCAGTTGTTTAGCATGTTTCGCAAAAATGTGTAAGACAGAACCTAATTATTGTAAATATAAATAATTGTATAATATAAATATTGTAAATAATAAAAAATATATTTATACGTTATTTACTTTTGTAGGCAACTGCTTTGTGTTGTCTCCCATTTGATGTTTGACTTTTAGAGCCACAGGTCTTAATGGTAAATTAATAATTCAATGAAAGTAAAACACACATAAAGATACAAGCACTCCATGATTTCCTTTCTATATTGATTTAGTGTAGATTTCACATTTGACATTATGTAACTCAAACCTTTTTCAAACACAGAACTGTTGCTCACAATCTGCGGAGCTGGTTTCTGTGGTCTACCCTGACCATCAGACACATGAGACCTCGAGGAAGCCGGACGGCAATATAGTTCAGAAAAATGCAGAATGTTTGTGTGTTAAGTATGTTAGCCACAATGGGGTCAAGCAACTTTCCAAATATTTCTGCAAATGACAAACAAAATGATGTCCTGTGTGGTGTTCATGGCCCCTCCTAACCCTCTCAGGGCCCAATTCAATGTAAATGACAGAAAAAATCTGATATTTGGGGAAAAGTCTCATATGGGATAATAATACCATCCCGACTTTTCTTTGAGGGGGCTGGCTTCACGGGCAATGCATTCTGGGATGCAACAATGGTAAATACAGCTGACCTGGGGAAAATCCCAGAGGAAATAAAATGTACTAATTGGCATGTACTGTATCTAAACGTATTCATCTTTCATTTTATGAAGTTTTGGTTTCAAGTTATTCAAGGTTGGTAGTCATACTGACTTGAAATATCCAAGTGGAAAACTGTGTGTTAAAGTAATAAGAAATAAAGTTGTTGCAAATCTCCCACGCCTGCTTGGAGAGGGTTTTAATGCACTGCTTTGCCTCGACACATCAACGCTTTGACTTTTAGAATAACCTTATTATTTTTAACTATTTTTTTTTCTGGACTAAGAAGACAAACTTTCAATGTACAGTAATGCAATAATATCAACAAAAACAGTTAAATAATAAATGGACTTGTCACATGTTTTGTTGGAAATTAAAATGGTTTGATGTGGACTAATAGTTAAACAAATAAAAAGATGCAAATCATTTGTATATGTTTTTGCCGATGATGCTTGAGTGAGTTTGTTTTTCCTCAGAGCTGACCTGGAACTTGCCCTGATGGAGCTGATTGATCGAGGGCAGGACGTGCTCGGCCCTTCAACAAACAATCAATCAAACTGCATGAAGCACTTTTCACATTTCAGACCAATGTTGGCAAAAGTGTACACTGTAAAAAAGGGCCCGTCATTTATTTTCAATTAAGATATAAATGTATTCGTTTTTTGTTGGAAAAAGCCTTAAGCTCAACACGTCAACAACAATGGAATTATCCCAAAATATTTTTCTTTAAAGATGGATCAATTTATATCATGCAGCTATGTTTGACCAATGCAATCTGTAACATCAGAGCCTACATAAGACCACATAGTTAACATAAAACATTACACCTGTCTATGATGTTGAAGAATAAAGGTTCATTTAGCTTGACCATTTGATTCTGAAAACTATAGGAAATAGTAATTCTTAATTGAATATTGTGGTACCTAACCTAATGCATTGTGACCTTTTTAAAAGTAATATTTTGAGAGCGAATCAGACCAAATCATGCTATATAAAAGTGAAGTCGGATACGATAACTCTTGTGCTTCCCTTGGGTCAATTTTTTTTTCAGGCTGTATTTTGATAACTTCCTTTAACTTGACCAGCCCTGGATCATTTAGACTTTTTTAGACCTTAATTTAGGGTATTTTTCTTCTACTTTTAATCATCTGTTGCGAGTTATTTTGACCCAAGGGGTAGCCCACGCCCGCAGGTTCCTGATTGGACACAATGAATTCGAACCCTTGATAAACAGCTGAGGCCCTTTTCATGCTAACAGTTCTGGAAGCCGTCTTTGGCACAAGTGTTGTTTGCCAAAGACACTTTTAGTCAGCAGCAATAGCAGAAAAACAGCACAGATCGATGTGAAGCGAACTGACTGCGGGAGACTCGGGAGAGAGGCTGCAAGCGCTGATTCTATGTTGTGTTTTCTCCAGCTGGAAATCACCCCCTGGAGGCGGGCTCCTCGCGCTCGTGCCGCGTCAATGATGTAGTGCCACGTCATTGATGTGAACCGAGGCGTTTTGCTGCCTCTCCAGAATGAAAAAGAAAGATCACTCTCTAACTAATGGTTGGAATGAATGAAAGCTATAAAAATACTACTTTGGGCAGGTGTAGAAAGGCCCAATAGCACTTTAGTGATGATTAGAACATAGAAAAGTCAAAAAGCGTAAAATGGGACCTTCAATTACTTGCTGATATCCAATTTTGCGTTCAAAACTGGGTGGCTGTCGTCTGCACTCCTCCCAGACTCAAACAGAAAGCAGAGGGATCGGCTCACCAGAAAATGCCCATTCTTGCAGCTGAAACGTCTTTCCACGGCACAAATACAAAGGTGACCGGATGTCCCCCATGGGTGGGATTGTCCTGCTTTGAAGCTTCTTGGCCAAAATCCCATGTCATTAATTCTGAATTGTGTCCCTTGAAGTGTCTCCAATGTCCCAGTTCAACAAATCATAATATAAAAGCTTTGCAGCATGCGTCTGCTCCAATGTCATGGGGTGATTCAAATTGTCCTCTTCATAAGAACCCTAAGGTAGAGAGCTGATGATAATAAGTAAATAATAATGGAGGTTAAGTTAAGTTAATGAGGGGAAAGTATATATTTATGTCAAACAACATTTGAGAGAGTAGGGCATATTGTCTGCTGTTGACCCCTAAAGCCGTGTTGCCTCATCATCATCATCATCACCACCATCAAATGTAGCCAGCGTCTACAAAGACAAGACTTCAACCCACATTTGCATGATTACATGATCCAGGCCTGATTGCTCAATTGTCTCTTTCTGGAATTATGAAGCTAAAAGTTGAGACTGGACTATTCTTCAACTCAGAGCCTCAGCATTTCAAAAATATCTACTAATTTTTGCTCTTTAAGGCTTTGAAAGTTCTTCTAATTAGACAATAGTGTAAAGAACTAGTACTGCTTTATTACCTGATATGTTTTGGGCGAAGATGGAAGGTCATTTTAATTTGAAGCAGTACTTTTGCTTTTTACACTTTTGTCTTATTGGAAGAACCTTATATGCCTTCAAGTAGCAGTATGTAAGATTTTCATGGCAAGTCATCCTTAAATGGCCGTTATGTCAAAAGGCATTAACAAATCCTACCTTTTCCAATACTTCTGTAAATGATAACAGTAGTTCAGAGATATTTCAGTTTCAAAATTAGTCTTACAGCCCCTGAATCTTGTTATTGTTTTCATTTCAATGTCACGCCCAGCTCCATCGTTTCACCAATCAGAAAGTTTATGATCCAGGGTTCCAGAACTCACCGCGTCGAGCTTATCTCACTGGTAAAGTAACATTTGGCTGCACACATGAAAAAAGGTCTCGTTATTATTCTCAAATAATTAATGACAAACAAGGAATAAAACCAGGATGTTTATTGGGGATGACTTTGTGAAAAAGGTGTTGGTTATAGATTTGTTGTTGACCAAACTCTTGTCTATTCAGATATTATGGTCCCAGCTGAATTCATCTGCATATCTGGCAACCTGAGTCGGGGAGAGTGGGAGAGGTTGCAGTTGGCCAGATTTTTACACAATGCCCCTTTGAATATACAAGAATACATACTTTTTACAGGCGCCTGCCCAGATCCCCCCTCAGCCTCTCCTTTAAGCCTGATTATTTGATTTTTTTGATTATACAATACAATACAATACAATTTATTCTTGTATAGCCCTAGGTCACAACAGAAGTCATCTCAGAGGACTTAACAAAACCACTGAAATCACCAACATAGATCAGAGAATAAAATCAAAGCACACACAGAAGAAAATGTCCATACATGTTGTAGTGTCCTGATCATCACCAATCCTTTATGTTGGACACTAACTGTCCAACAAGACCCTCCTGCATCGACAAGAAAAAACTCTTAAAAAACCCAGTGGGAAAAAGTGAGAAACCTTGGAGGAGAACTAGGGAAACCCACAGGGAGGGAGACCCATTTGAGAAAGGGATCCGCTCCTCCGGACGGACAGGCTAATGATCTAGGACCTAAGCTAGCTACAGAACGTGGACCAGTGGCCGCTGAACGTGGACAGGTCCGGTGCAGGACCGAAGCACTCCCAGGCGGGTCGGGCAGGGCAGTCCGCAGGTGTAGAAGGAGGAGGCCAGGCTCAGAGATCCCGTCATCGTACCATGAAACAGACAATGGGACAACGGGTGAATAGCAATGAACAAACTACAGTTATTTTGAGCATTTTTAAGTTGTCAGTGTTTCCCAGACTTCCTTTGTCGTATTCAATTAAACATGATGTTGTCGTGACCTTCATTCTCACCTCTACACAGAAGCAGAAAATGCTTTCGGAGAGAACGGGCCATTCTGGATCTCTTATTTTGGGTGTTTCTGTGCGAATAGAGTATATTTCATGAAACTAACATGTGAACATGTCCATACAATCCTTTATATGGACTGTGTAAATCTTATCAGTCGGATCAGTTTCTCTGCTTCCTCTCATAGTGACAGAAGGAGGAACTGTAAAACTGTGAAAGATAATCACTGTTTCCATTCATCATTTATGCACCCGATAAATCCACTTTATTTTGATTGATGCTTTGACGGGAAACTGTCCCCGCTGGTCTGCTGCAGCTGCGTGACTCCCTCCTGTCCTTTGTTTGTCCTTCCAGGAAACGTGTTTGTGGTGAGCCTGGCCTTCGCTGACCTGGTGGTGGCGCTGTATCCCTATCCTCTGGTGCTGTACGCCATCTTCCATGACGGATGGTCACTGGGAGAGACGCAGTGCATGGTGAGCTGAACTACTGCACTGCTATCAAACATACAAGCATAACAATTAGAGTTATTTAAAGGAGAAGTGATATTGAAAAAAAATCTGACTTTTTGAGCTTGTAAAGTGTTAAAACATTGTTTTCTCATAAAAACAGACCTAAAGTAGTTTTTTTAAGAGTAAGAGATCCTTTATTCGTCCCACAGTGGGGAAATTTCAGTGTTGCATCACTGGTTATGGAACAGTAGGAATGAGGAGCACACAGCAAAAGTTAAATGAACTCTATACTAAATGCCAAAAATCTCATGCAAAAGAAATAGGTATAAAATTTCTATCTTTAGCATAATGAGTGCAACGACTCTGACTTAATAATAAAGAAGAGTAAAAAGTATAAAATGTCTACCTTTTAGATCCATCCATGCTAAAATCAGGAAATTCTGGCACAAACATGAAACTTTGCCTTTTCTCTCTAAAAGTCCTGTAACACTATGATGTCATTGTCGCACTCAAGCTACAACAAATGTATTGTCCATGAATTAGTTTCGGCAATTTCTCAAAATAAATGACATTCTTAACAATCACATGGCTGTGTTTGCAACGGATAATCCTCAAATGAAATAAAATGAAAATAAACAAGTAAATCTCCTCCCTCTGGTGGATGTATTTGGAGTTACAGGCATAAAGCATGTTGTATCTTTCCTACTTGTTTCACCATTTATTTTGTACTAGAGATAAAAGTTCACAATCACACATCAACACATTCAATGAGAAATTAAGCAGTCTTATGTTTTGTAACGGCCAAAAGACATGTTCAATATAAATCATTTTATAAGTGGCACATCTCACACAAATATACAGACCTTAGCTGACGTTATATTCATTTCTCTCTCGTTATTCTTTGCTGCTGTGTGAATTGCTCGGGTATAAATACAGTCATAGCTGCACTTTCCTTTAAAAAATACAGCCCATAAAAGACTAAGATTAAAGTTGTGAAAAAAGCATCTCCTTATATAACCGTTTCCTCGAGCTGATGAGGTGTACAGCAACAATTTGAGACGTAGCGAGGGTCTTCAGGCGCCGTAATGGGCACGATAAAGAACACTATACTGTTGCTACAGTTCCAAGGCTGCAGTTTTACGATGTGAGACCAAATGTTCACTGGTTTTACTGGTTTTATGGATAGATCAGTAGTTGAATTGGTCAAAGGAAACAGTTTTACTTCAAGGGGGAGATGAGACAAAACTTTGATCAACTATATGGTCATTTTTTTATTCTTATCTTATTCATTCAGCAATCATAACAAGTAGGTTTAATTCAAGGAAATGTCAGAAACTTCTAAAACATTGCACTTAAAGAATGTGTTATATTGACCACCACAATCACGTTAAGTATTTTATTAAATCACCTTTATTTAGCCAGGGACATCCCACTGAGATTTCAGAATTTCTTTTTCTCAGAAGGCCAAGCCCCAGAGAGAGGGGGTCCCAGAGTGGGGTTGGAGACTATACTACATGGTTTTGGTGGGAGAGAAAAGAAACTCATGTAAACATGGAAGAACATGCAAACTCCATACAGAAAATCATTCCTCAGATAGTCCCTCCCCTTGGTAATAACCACCACCTGTAGGATTTACTGGAGGAGAATAGAAAATGCTGTCAATAGCAGATATGAAATTGTTACATGGCCCTTATATGACAAAAGGCATTAATAAATCATGCTCTTTTTAAATACTTCTTTAACTGATAACAGTAGTTCAGCCGAGATATTTGAATTTCAAAACGTTATTTACAGCCCCTAAATCTTGTTATTGCTTTCATTTCGATGTCCCGCCCTCCCTCCTTTTACCAATCAGAAAGTCTGTGATTCGGGTTGCCAGAACTCACCGCGTCGAGCAAATCTCACTCGTAAAGTAACACGTGGCCGCAGAAGCAAAAAAGGTCTCATGATTCTCAAATAATTAATGACAAAACAAGGAAAAAACGTGGATTTCACTCGGGGCCTTTGTGAAAAAGATGTTGGTTACTTTGTTGGTAAAGTAACCAAAAAAAAGTTGGTAAAAAGATACTTTATTGATAACCTGTAGGGGAAATTCAGGTGTCCAGCAGATTTATTGTTGACAAAATTCTTGTCTATTCAGATATCATAGTCCGAGCTGAATTCGTCTGCATACCTGGCAACCCGAGTCAGGGAGAGGGACAGAGGTTGCAGTACCAATTTCGGCCAGACCTTTTCATACTGCTCCTTTAACTGTGTCCATTCACAGGTGAGCGGCTTCCTGATGGGCCTCAGCGTCATCGGCTCGATCTTCAACATCACGGCCATCGCCATCAACCGCTACTGCTACATCTGCCACAGCTTCGCCTACGACAAGTTCTTCAGCTTCCGGAACACGCTGCTGCTGGTCGCTCTGGTCTGGCTGCTCACCATCGTCGCCATCGTCCCCAACTTTTTCGTGGGATCCCTCAAGTACGACCCCAGAGTCTACTCTTGCACATTCGCCCAAACCGTGAGCGCCTCCTACACAATCGCTGTGGTGGTGGTGCACTTTTTCGTCCCCATCACCATCGTCACATTTTGCTATTTGCGAATATGGATTTTGGTGATACAGGTACGAAGGAAAGTCAAGACAGAAGTTCGGCCAAGGCTCAAACCCAGCGATTTGCGAAATTTCATGATGATGTTTGTGGTTTTTGTGCTTTTTGCGATATGTTGGGGTCCGCTGAATTTGATCGGGTTGGCGGTTTCGATAGACCCGGCTATGGTTGCGCCAAAAATACCTGAGTGGTTGTTTGTGGTGAGCTACTTCATGGCTTACTTCAACAGTTGCCTTAATGCTATAATCTATGGCTTGCTGAATCAAAATTTCCGGAGAGAATACAAAAGAATCGTAATGTCGGTTTGGCATCCGCAACTGTTTTTCCAGGAAACATCTCGCGGCGGGACGGAGGCGATGAAAAGCAAACCGTCGCCAGGTTTGAACAACAATGAGCAACAAGGAGAAACACACTGACTAAGGAACAATAAAAAACATTTCTAATGCTGTGAAATGGGAAGCAATAAATGGGTAACGGAGACAATGGAGAAAGCCAAAGCACGGCACAGTCAATAACAGTTCTGTCGGATCAAAAAACACGATGTTCTATATATTGTGAGTTTGTAATTGAGTCAACACTTTGTAGATATTTGAGAGAAATGTAATTGGATTTTGCGGAGATGTAGCAATGTCAATGTTTCACAAAACTTGGATTGATAGAAAGGGTTTCTGTTTTTGGAATCCAGATGTTTCGACTTGCATCCGGGAGTCATTTTGAGTGGACTAAACACATTTCAATTAGGGAGGCAGCAATCCATCATTTCCTCGTGCAAGACTGATGTAGATTCTGGATGTCCAAAATGAACCAATGAAGTGACAGGAAATGTTGTTTTTTTCCCCTCCTCAAATCACAGTTAACTTATCGAACAGATCCAGTGCTGACAGGTGTTTAATCTCTGAGGCAAAATCAACGTATTAACCAGGTTACGACACTGTTCTATCCCTATTTTTTAGATCCATCCTTGCAAATATCTAGAACTTCTGGCACAAACATGCAGCTCTGCACGCTTCTGTCTAAAACAGCGGTGTCAAACTAGTCCTCATAGGGTTAGTGTTGCTGGAAGTTTTAGTTCCAGCCACACACTAGAGCACACCAGGCCCTAATCCATTTCTTCTAGTGAGTCCAGTCTTAAGCTTGAAACTTAAGGACATAGGTGGACTATGGTGTGCCCCAGTGGTTGGAACTAAAACTTTCTGACACTCTGAGTTGATATCAGTCTCATTACATCAGTCATAGAATCAACCACCAATTTATCCCATAAATTGCCCATTATCGGATCATTCATACCAGTTTTGAATTGTGCCTAGAATCCTTAGTTACAGTTGTATTGGAAACATACCCATGCAGTTATATGCAAATACAATTCTTAGTCTATTCAATGTGAACAGCCGAGATTAATATTAGCCCTGCCCAAAGGAGCTACACATGAAGCCTGATACTGGTGCTATGCTCTCCTGCTCACGAGACTGACAGTTTCCCTTTGAGCAGCTAAATGCGAGTTCCAGACAGCTCACAATGACTTTTGAATAGAAGTCAAAATGTCTTCATTCCTGCCCTTGGACGTGGAGGAGGATCACATCAGCGTAATTTTCGTGTCAAGAAATCGTTTCCCAGACTTTTTATTACATTTTAATTTGGATTTCAAACCCAATGGAAAAATATCAAAAATTTGCAATACCACAACAGTTTCTCCAGAAGTAACATGTGGCCTTAAACCATAACAAATAGAAATGTCAATGCCACTTTTGAGCGTACTGATACTTGTTTAAAAGAATCAAATGATGATCCTAGTTTTGATCGGTTTCTCGGCATGTAGAGAATTTTCTGCCGCGTTGGCTTCTATTGCAGCAAGTGGAAAGTCCTTACAAAAGCGATGATTGCTTGCATACGTGTATTGTATCTTGCATAATGTGACACCAAACGCTATTTGCACCAAAGTCTGAGATTTCCTGCTTGCGACGGACGAAAGCGACTGTGTTAAAAGTGTACGTTACATATTCAGTATTCAGATAAGCTCTGAATGGATTAGAGGAAATGTCATTCCACTTTGTCAAACAGCAGGGTTTGTGCCATCTGAATATAAGCGATATGTATCTATATAGTTTTTATTTTTGTGCCAAAGACTCAAAGTGATCAACTGTGAAACTAAACAGCAAGAGGCGCGGGGGCCGCAAGGTTGAATGTGCCACAAAAACGATGAGCGGTTTTGGTTACCCAGCGTGCATTGTGGGGGAAAGTGGAATAGATTCTGTCAATTATTCAGGACTTGTTTGCGCAGGACGGCCAACATTTTTTTTGTGCAAATGAAGTGGGTTGACTTTCAATCCACGTTTCTGGCTGTCAAGGGTGTCCACAATATTTGGAAGAATGAATAAATGTTTGAAAATATATAAACATAGAAAATAGCACAACAATTGTAATAGAAAACACAAGCAATTACAAGTTCTTTTGTCGTTCTCGTTTCTGTTTTATGATCGCGGTCATTCTTACCATTTTGTTTTGTTGGATATATCTTTTTATGTTTGCACATTCGACTGAGGACATGCAGTCAGAGCCAACGCATTCATGCTTTTTCACCAAGAAATCTGAACAAATGACCAACTTTTCAAACCAAAATTTACTCATTCTGAACTTTTGTGGCACATCTATGGTTTGGGGAGGGGTCCTTGCCTCTTGTCTGAATCTTCGCCAAGGCGCGAGAGCTTAGTAACGGACTCTCTCTGATGTGAAATCTGCCTGAAAGGGTTTCCGTCACGTGTAAGTGTAATACTGCTGTTTATTTTATATTTACTGCACTGAATGTTTGTGCTGCTCTACAGTCAACTTTATATCTGTGAAAACTGTTCAACCCACTGTGATAAACCTATGGGTCTCATCAAAACATCCAGCGAACAGAAGACTTTGTATTTTGGGCTTATGATTATTTATTGTGTTGAACTGTATCTCGTTTATATGACGTTTGTCTCCATGGAGATGTCTCTGCGTTGCTTGGAATGTTCTACGCTGGCATTAAACCCATCCATGCCGCGTTTCTTCAATTAGAGGTATTTTTAAACAGTGAAATATGGCTTATTACTCTGACAAATTGAAAATGAGTTTTGGACTAAAAGCAGCCAAGTGTTACTCTTTCTGATTTCAAGTCAGAAATAGTAACTTATTGGTAGCTTTCCAAAAAAATCACATACCATGCTTTGCCTTCTAATTAGAGAGGCTTGTTCCAGCTGCAGATTGTGTTAGTATCAAAATGTTAATTCATTCATTCATCTTAATCTCTTTTATTATTCCATTCCTGGGTCGGGGGGTGGCAACACCGGACCCTCGCTGATCCTCCTGCAGGTGGTGGGTCCACAGGAAGTCGGCTGCTCCGTCAACGAAGACACAGCCCTGGTATTTCAGTGGGGCTTCAGGCAAAGTGGGGTTAAGTGTCTTGCCCAAGGACACAAAGACAGCAGACTTCAGTCGGAGCAGGTTGCAGGTTGCATGGGTCGTGGGGGGTTAGGTTCAAAGACCAATGCTGTACCAACTGAGCCATTGTCGCCATAATCAAAATGTACGTACATAAAAAAAAATCATTATTTCTACTACATATTAAAGCTGGGGTCCGTAACTTCTTCATGAATTATACATATTGTTTTTCCCCAACAGAAGGACTTAACATAAAAGACGCAAAAATGAGACGAGAACAAATCAGACCACGACAAAGTTATCTTTTGCATGCCCTGTGAGTCACTATTTGACACTTTGGGCTAAGATCTGATTGGCTGAGCGAGTGGTCCTCCCTTTGTCCTTCACAAAGCTTATATAAAGATGTGACAGAAGCCAAAATGGATGAAAACTAGTTATAGAAAACCTGACTGTTTTAAGAGCAAGGAACTAGTTAAATGGATTTGTTTTAGTTTATTGTTTTGTGTTTGAAAGTTAGGTACCCCAGCTTTAGATTATCTTGCATGATATTCTTACTGTTATATTTTTGACTGTCTATAAGCTCTCCAGATGGAACAAGCATCACTGTTTAGACCCTTGCATTAGTCTTTGTCCCTATATCGTTAATGCCACAGTCTGGAACATGGAACATCATCGCCATGGAGACAAGCCGCAGACTGAACGCCACATCTTTCTCTTTTTTGACAGTATTATGACCGTGTGAAATGTCGGATAAACAGGTTACGTCATCAAACTCTCTGACTTAGTAATGTCGTCTTAGTAACATTTTGATAACGAGCAAAATACTCAAATTGACTGTTGATAACTAAAACAATGTGAAATAATGTGTTTTTATGTGAACGCTCCAGTGCTTTGTTACCTACCGCCGCCTCAAACAACATCCACATCCAGAGAGTCAACGGTGCCTGAATCAAAAGAATAAAAAAAAAAAAAAACTCAACCGCGGCTATTCTGAAGCTATGGGAATACAGGGAAAAACGCATTCATGTACGGGCAGGTTTGTAGAGCAGCCAGTTCCAAAATCCAAGGAGAGTATAAAACTACTCACTGAACATATGGTGGGCTTCCAGAGCAATCACGGCGTTAATAATAGAATGTCTTGCTAAGTCCAAGGTTACCGTCCATTTCAGAGCGCTGCAGCAGTTTTAGCCTCCCTTATAAAAACGTGATCTGTCCGTAAAAAGCACAAAAACCTTGACAACGCAGTTTACAAATAACCGTGGGAATCTTAGTAAAGCTCTGATCTTAGTACTACAGTAAAACATGTTTTCTATGCATTCCATGTTTTATAACGGCTTCTCGTCAGTTTAGTAAAAGGACAATATAACACACCGCTGCTTCAAAGAATGTGCATGACTGCTGATGTTTTGTTATTTGTTATGATTACAAAAGTGGAAATCGTCTGCTTCAATAGACCAGCAGTGGTGACGGAAGTGAAGGCCAGCTAAAGGCTAAAAGCTAACGCTATCATCATATAAGCTAACGATGGGTATTGAGAATGAGGAGTCACGTGATAATTTGGGCGGGGTCTAATCCGGTCGGCCATGTTGATAGGATCCTCTATCGGTTGCCAGGGGCAACGCCACTAACGCTCAATATATAGCTACAGTCTATCTATGCTAACGCTCCAGAGGTCTTTAACTTGAGCGGCCGTTTATTATTTTGGCAGTAGATACATCTACGATTACAACACTAGCAAGACAGTTAATGGAGAAAGTGAAGGCGAAAGGAAATGGACCGTACAGGGAAAAGCAAAACAACGTTATTTGGAGAAGCTCTCAGACATACAACAGGTAGACCCATACGAGCTTCCTGCAGCGGAGTGGCAAAAATACCTTGACTTTTTGCCTCCGTGCACGTACATGGATATAGTCAATTACCTTGTTTTCGGTGTTAGTTATTATACAATGCAGGAGTTTAGAAGTCACAAGTCACTGGAGAGTTACGAGGCTTTCTGCTGTGGTTGGGTGCA